AAGGCTACATGACTTCGCTAATCTGAGCCTCTATACCGTATTCTACGCTCTCGATAGGGCCTCACTGCATTTGATGTTACCGTTTCCCACACCTGAGTGAATTTTTTTTAAAGATTTTGTTTAGGCATGGGCTAATAAGCACAAATCCTCTTTTGGACACTGCATCAAACTCCCCTTGTAGCTAAACAAGCTCAAAAATAACTTTTTTTTTGCATGAGTTATAATTGAATTATCGTTTCCCATGTCCCAAAATCTAGTCCTGTACCTACCAAATCGTTGCTGAAGTGAGGTAGAACACATTTGGAGGGTGAAACCCGTTGAAGTGAGTAGACAAACATAGAGAATAGGCTCCACAGTCAGGATACAGTATCCAGTCACCTTCTCTAAGTGTTGAAATGCGACGATCAGTCTGAAAATGGATTTTAGGTTTTGTAAATACGAAGGGTTTTGGGTACTGTACGTTTTAAAAAAAATTGGCGAAAAATGTGAAAATTTGACCTCGATGATGTCGAAACTGCAGCATGTTGGTCCCCAGATATCAGCTCTCATGTGGCCTTCTCGCTCATTCTGATTATATTCATGTGTAATGAGCAATGTCGTACGAAAAAAAAACTCACAAAAAGAGGATAACCTGTGGCTTTTCTTTTCTCTGTAAGAACAAAATTGAAAGAGCCGTAAACTCCGTCATTTAGGTAGATACTGTAGCTTTCAGGTATATCTTCTAGAATCGATATTATTTTTCAGTATTTTCCAAAGATAAGGTAAAAATCGCTTCAAATCACCACTGATAGATTTAAGAACCACTTGACTAACACGAGTGGCTACATATTGTGCATTTGTAACTAAAAAACGCCCAGGTTCTGCAATCACGGACACTGCAACTCCTTCGAAACATGTGCTTAAGGTGTTTTCGATGAAATGCCCAATCTGGAAAATTTACCAATGTATTGCGAAACAGACCAGCATTGATGTAATTTTTACTTTCAGGAATTCTGTATTGCTAGTAGGTACGAATCCTCCTCCAATGTCTATTATATCCACAGGATGACCTAGCATCCTACCGTAATCCAGCAACTTCCGCGCATTGGCCAATGAGAGCGCGACAGGGCGGCAATTCACAACACCGGAGCCGATGTGAAAGCTGAAATCACTGATCTTTTGCATAAAAATTGTAGGAATGATTTTTGGATAAAGATTAAATGTGCACCTTATACCATAAATTTTCACGCCAATTTTCTTCGCCTCGTGGAATATCAGTTTGCTTGTGACATCATCAGCTCCAAATTTTTTATTCAAATCCACAAGAGCATCAAATCCTGTGACTTTGATTCTGAGTATCAGCCTGAAATTTGAAAAATAAAGAGAAACACAGAACACAGTTTGTTGTAAGCTCAGAAACACTTACTTGGCTTTCTTTGTAACTCCTGCAATTTTTCTTAGCTCCTCAACACTATCAATTGTCATCATTGTCACGCCATTCTCTATCGCATACTCTATACATTGCCGAGATTTGATAGGATGAGCCAGAATTATTTCATTGCCTTTAGCCAGATTATCCAAAAAGATCTAAAACAAAGTTGATAATGACGTTGATTTTTTAGATTTTGGCCGAAAAGTCCTACCTGCTTTATTTCGGTGACACTAGCACAATCAAAGCACGCTCCATTCGCGGATAATGCTCTCAGGATGTTAAGGTCAGGATTACATTTTACAGCATAGAAAGGCTGAAATATGCACATTATAATATTCAGATTCACATCTGCTTAGGCTAATTGTTTGCTCATAAACTCATTCAAGACTTGAAACAAAAATCGCTTGTTTGGAAAAGATTTCTTGACTTGCCAACGGT